GAACGTAAATTACAGGTGCTCTGAGCACCATTTAGCTTGAGGCTGACCCTGGAAACAGCTCTTCCAGTTCAGTTCCTGTAGCTTTCCCATCATTGAATACAAGTGTCTGAGTGAAGCTGGAAAGAGGAATTTAACCTAGAAGCAAACTGGACTGGTAAATCATCTGTTAGTTCTGCTGTCTGGAAACTGAGGCAGGCATCAGATTTCATTTTCCGCTTCATGTTGCAAGCATCAGTCGGTGCACCAGCGATGTGTAAGGGCAGGTCAGCAAGGCAATGTCTGTTTTGAGTCTTGTGGAATTTTAGGATGCTGCATTTCCATATTGCTTTCCTTTGTTAAAAAAGGGAAAATAAAACATTGCCTAAAGGGATGTACAAACATGTGAACAGAGTCTCTCTGAAGGGAGAAGTGGTTGGCAGACCTTTTCCACTTGTAATCAGTCAGGACTGCAGCTGACAGGGCTGGATAGAGCTTTGCTAGAGAAAAATGATTAAAATGAGCGTTTGCTACCTAAAGGTGGTAGTGGTATCTATAGTTACCTAAAGTGGTTCAAGTAAGTAGACACAAACCCTCTCTTCTCTAGTCTTAAAAGTACTCACTCTACCTGAAAATGTCACTGTTAAGAAGTGACTAGCATACCAGATGATCTTCTGCTAAGTCCTTTTTAGTTAATAATATGAATTTAGCCTCTAGAAGGCATTAGCTTGTCTGTACCATTAACCACTTGGTGGCTGCAGACATCCTGAGCAGAATGTGTCTCGCACATGTTCTGGTGTTTATTAGTATCCTCCTTACAGTGGTGTTGAAATGGGATGATTTTATAGACAGTGAGTATGTTAAAAAATGTCATTGCTGTAATCATCACCAGATGTGTGTGATATTTTATGAGTAAATTTTATACAAAATGGAAAGTGCTTTACTCGCTGTGATCTGAGGTGAAATAGCCATCTGTAGCCTTCAATAATTTGGGGACTTTTTCACTTCTGATCCAGAGAAATAATGCTGTAGCCTTTCTAAGAGTTTGTTAAAAACACATTTGTAATCTAACCTTTCCTATTTTTTTTTTGACATGATAATAGATTAGGTAGGTTCTTAACCTCTTGTTTTACATGTATTTTAACTTCTCTTGCAATATTGCACTGGCAGTTTATTGAGCCAAGGCCAAAAAACTGCTTGCTAAACTTGAGCAATCAGGAGGGAATGGATGATGAAAAGCTAACAGTGTTTTACTCATCTACCACTCATTTTTCTTCACAGGCATGTGGTAAGTAGATATTAACAAAGACAGGAATAAAAAGTGCTTTCGGTCCTCATAAATCGATGTGTGCTGGTGGGGTCAAGAACAAATATTGGAAAGGTCAGGACATGCAGAGAACTGTCTTCCTGTGTTGTGACGCTCAGAACCAGGCTTGGATTTTTTTCAGTTGCTGTTTTGAAAGCAATTAGAAGGAGGCACTTCTGTGGCTGCACAGGATACTTTGTGCTGGCTGGGTGTGTGGGTCAGGTTTTTTTTTGTGGCCACAGTAGGTCAGGTAACATGCTGAAAATGAAGTCCTACCCAGTGAATCAGGGATGTCATACTACTCTGCTTGGGAGGAACATTTTTAAAGGTTTCTCAGAACCCAGGGGATTCAAGCTATTTGCTCATCCACAGCAGGAGCACAAGACCGTGCTGTTGAATGAGTCTTCAAGTCTACACCAACTAGATGCTTGAGGTTCCTTGGAGAAGGAAGTCTTGGTCAGAGGGAAGGTTCAGAGTCAGGAGCTCTGGGCTCTGGTTTTGGGATAACAGGGACCTGGTGACTGCGCCTTCTTAGTTGTTTGTTAATGTTCTCTCACCGTTCAGGCTGAGAGGTTTCTTCCAGGTTACAGCTGATGGAGTAGGTCTGTCACGTCATCCATGTTCCCTCTGAGCACTGTCGGTGCCGAGACAAGTACAGAGAGACCACTATGTGTGTCCTCCTCAGCTTCTGCCAGGGAACGGTCTCCTGTGCCAGCAGGATTGATTTAACATATTTAAAAACAGTGAGCTGAAGAGACTGTGGAAAGGTGACTTTGTTTTCATCAAATGAACTTGGTGGTTTGTGTTTTGCTTGGACAGAGTAGTAAAAAGTTTCTGAAGAAAATAAGTTAATACAGTTGGAAAATGGTATAATGTAGGCCTTTGGTATCACTTGATAAAGCTGAGACAGTTAGGTTATCAAAGAGAAGCCAGAGACTTAGAAGAAGCTCAGAGTTATCATAGATGTTCTGTTATTTCAGTGATGAATTAAGTTACGTAGGTTGCCTAAGAAATGCTGTATGAATTAGCAGTCTTTTGGAAGAGCGGGGAATACTGCAGAGAAAGTATTTGTAAGATTAATTTACTTGTAGAGTTTCCAGCAGTGGTGCCTTGGTACTACACATCTGTCAAGATTAAATGAGATTTGGGGGCTGATAACATCTAGGTGGGGACACTATTGTGCCTTAAGGACAGATTTGTAATTTAATTTGTAATCAGGCAGATTACAATTACTATGTTTGCCTCTGATTAAAAAAAATGGGTCAGAAAAGGAAGGAATAGTGCTCTATAAAGAACATATAAATGAAGGGGAACTTCACACCACAAGAGCACTTCAAAACACCTACAGACTTCACATTCCCTGTTTTTTCATCATTATGCTTGCTCACTTGGTAGTTCTGTGTAGCTTGCTTCTCACCAGCAAGGAGCTGCTGCATGAGACTGCTTGCTAAGAACAGAGTGCTGGAAAGGTTTTTGTATATGTGCCTTTCTGATCTCCATGGTGAGTGACAAGTACATGTCCAACCTCTGGTTTGGGAAGAAAGAGGATTTCTGTGTGGCTTAGGTGAGGGGTACCTGTGGTTACTGAACTAGGAGCAACATAGAGAAGGAGGGACTTGTACTTCAGGCCTTTGTGAGCATTTCTGGAGACTGTTAGAGCCAGCCCAGGAGTGGCTTCAATGAGCTGAGTCTGGATGCCGAAGGCTCTTGCTGTTCTCACCTGAAAGGCTCGATCAGCCTCAGGGAAGGCTTCTTGGAAGAGAGATGGGTAACCATTATTAAGGACAAAAGTAGGAAGCCTGTGAAATCTGTAATAGGCTAGTATGCATCTGGAGCCCTGTATGTTATCGTTACTAAATGATTTCCTTATTTATCTTCACAGTGCCCATTGTAGCTGAGGAGTATCATTATTTTATCTTCTTTGTGCTTTGTGGAGAAACAGCAAGTTGAAAACTGGCTGAGGTTTGCATATGAATACTGTGGCCTTGCTGGGTATTAAGGTTTTCTCTCCCATGTCTGGCTTAGTTCCATAATCCTCGGCTCATCCTTCTTCTTTTGTAAAGCTGGGTTTATTTGTCAAGATCTGCCTGTGGGTAAGATCTCAAAAGGAAGAGAGACCAAGTTAGTATATGAGCATTTGGTAAGCTTTTTCCTTAACGAAGGTGGGAGGAGAAGGGAATGGCACTGGAAAAGAAAACTCTTAGCAGGAAAAAAAAAAGTTCTTACTGGTTTTGACAGATCAGTTCTCAGAATTACGGGATCGTCTTCAGCTGTTGATCTCAGTGTTTATTTTCAGTAACTTTTTTTTTATGGAGGAGTCCATGTTCCCCGTTTCAAGTATTCCAACTTTACTCAGCAGCATGTCCCTTGGTGAGTGTTGTGTCCAGAGTCCTGGGACTCGCGCTGACTAGCCTGCTGGCTATCTGCAGCTGGGCTGAGCAGGGACTGCTTTCAGCCAAGGCTGGAGGGAGATGTGAAGTCTTTTTCCAGCCTGCAGAGATGGCTCAGCTGCTGGTTCTGCTGTCACATCTGTTTATGTAGCCCATAAACATGTAGAGAGGGCCCGTCCAGCACTGAGGAGGATTCAAGTGTCTCTAAAAAATCATCCTTATTCTTCCTTTTACTTTCAAAGATTAGAAAAAGAACAGAATAAGCTTTCAGTGTCTTTGCTTTCTCTATAAAATATTAGTGAAGCAGGGATGCGATCTTCAGAGACAAGAGGATTTTTTACCAGTAAGCACAGTCAGTAAGGAAAGCCCATAAAAATGTCCTCCCTCACCTTCAGTTTTTAGAAGATAAAGAGGACTTCTGGCTGTTTGTGTTATCCAAGTTGACCCAGTTGCATGCTTTCAGAATGACTGTGCTACTGATCGGAGTTGTGCATCTCAAATACTTTGTCGGTTGCTACTGTTTTTCTGGAAAGGCCCGTTAAGTCTGTATTTGCTTCCTGAAACACAGTGGAATCTAATGAAAAGCATCATTGTTTTGGAACACCACGATCTGCTGCCAAAAGAGCTACTGTTGTATAATCCTTAATAGCAGGTTAGAGTGGCAGTTGTTCCTTGGTTTGAAGTCGGTATGTGGAAGGATGGATTTCCAGTTCTCTCTCCACAGAAGGCACGTTTCATCTTGTTCTCTCTCTTTGGGAACTGTAAGTCATACAGAGGTGTTCAGCTATTCTGAGCTGGTAATAAATCCTTGCACAGGTTTGAACACCAAGAGTGTTACTTAGAGGTAACACGCTGAAGGAGATGGAAGAAACTGTGAGTGTCCTTTGGGAAGGGGTAGCAGTGCTCTGGTGGCTCAGTAGCCAGGGGTTATATTTGTTAATTCTTGCCAGCAAGTTTAATTGTTGCTAAAGATGCTTCAGGTTATTCTGATGTAAAACAACAGAGTCGGAATAGAAAAGCTAATCTTGACTTTCTTTCTGATTTGCAGAATTCAGCATGTTCACTTCTATGCTGACATTTCTGCATTTCATGCTGTTTACATTAACCTGCAGCTTGGCTAGCACGCTGTCATACTTCATCTTTTTAGCAATGATACTAGTATTTGCAGATACCAGCCAAACATTGAATTCCTGTTGTGGTGGGCATTTGCATCAAAGTTTACCTTCTGGTTTTCAGCTAAAGCCAATACATAGGAGCTCTTAAATATTTTCTTTAGGGTAGACTGTATCGGAGCAGGTCAAATTAATCTCTAGTTTTTAATCTTTCAGGACCCTGTGCAACCAGAGCAATTGCTTACGGGAAAAAGAGTGTGAGTAAAATATTTGAATTATCTTACAGGTTTCTTACTGGAATTTAACAGCTGGAAACAAAAAGCAGTGAGAACAACATCTTCTTAGCCAGGTCCATGCTTGCTATTGGCACGCGCTCAGCTGGACAGCCGTTTGGGAACCTCCGCAGCAGAGGTTGCTGCAGGCTGCTGAAGACTTTTTCCCAAGGAAGCGAGTTTCCCAGGGCCATGAGGGTGCACAGTTCATGCTGGTGTTGGCTCAGAAAAGCCTTTGTTTGTCCATTCACCTTCTCTCTAGGTGAAACCTCTCTCTGGAGATTTCTTGCCAATATTGCTTGTGCCTCAGCCTCTTATTCACCGATACATTGATTTATAAGGTGAGGAAGAGTCACCTGAGGCATGATACTCAGTTTGACTGACTTACTGTGTTGCTCAGACTGACTTTTCTGCATTAATTCTCGACTCTGTGAAAAAAGGCTGATTTAAACATCACACCCTCTCCCCCCTTCACTTAGACCCCTCTGGTGATGGAAAAACTACTTCAGAAATTTGTTGTTTCATAATTAACTGTCCTCTCTGTTAATATTTTTGTGGGGCTTTGTTTAATTTCCAGTTATGGGCTGCTGTTCTGTCACTGCTAGACTGAGAGCCCTCCACAGTCACGCTGCTTTCCTGCGTGTAAGTGCTTCTATACTGTTTTCAGATCACCTGCAGAGCCACTCTCTGTAAATTGACAATGCTTCACTCCAGCCTTACTCTGTCTCGCAGCTTTATTCCTTCCTCAATATAATCAGTATCATTCTGAAATAGGGACAGCTGGCTGAAAACAGTTTTCCAGCAGTGTTTTGTAGCAGTGCACAATAGGCACATGGAGTCCTGCTTGGTAGTCTTGTACATGCAGGGATCATATTTGACCTGCAGTTGCAGCATTTCTTTGAGAGCTCATGTTGGCTGATTCTCCTCCGTGGCATACCTCTTGCTCCTCTGGATCAAGTCTCATGTTCCTTAAGTATGGTCCTCCTTTTCTTCTAGCAGTGGGGCAATATGGGGCACACCAGACTTAGAGAAGTGGAGAACTAGCATTAACTCTAAGAAACTGTTTCTGTAAGAAGCAGTATGTTGGAAATGACTTAACTAAAATGGTAATTCTGCAGGATATATTGAGAAGCATGAGCTATATGAAAGCTAGGAAAGATGCTAATTAGCTCACTGGAGAATTTGTGGTTCACGTTTCAAGGCAGTAAACTCAGTTACAGACAGATAAGAATGGGTGGTTTCATGGTTCTCAGAGGGTCAGATCTGAGGTTTGCTCCTCACAGAATTGCACTGCAGTTTTCATTGTTTTCCAAATTCCTTTCTAATCATTCATAAAATAGATGATAATTAAATAATGCTTAATTTAATTTTAAATAACTAGTGCTCCTTGGAGTTCATGAGTGAATAGAACTCCTTGGATAGAAATGGTCACCCAAAGAAATTCTGAATTTATCAGTCTGTGTTTTTTAGTGCGTCTAATGAATTTGGGTCCTGGATTATTACTGGAGCTCTAGGCGCTCTGCAGTCATTCTGTGGATATTGTTGTCAGTAGAAGTAGTCTGATAAAAAAATGCATGTCAAATAAGCAGGATTTTGTTAAATATATCTTACAACATATTTGATATATAGACATTGCTTTAGCATCTGCCTTTATGACAGAGATAAAATTCAGCCTGAAATTAAATCAAATCCTATAATAAGCCACATGAGTATCATTCTTCCTTCTTATACCTTACCCATCCAGAAATAACCCATGAGTTTCCATCAATCAGTCAGACCATAGTCAAATAAATGTATAACTAAGAATGCTTTACCAGTTTCAATAAAAGCACCCTCCTGGAAAAAGCAGCTTCACTGATGTCAGCACTGTGGTGGTGCTCAAGAGAAACAGCTGCCCCCTTCCTGAGGGAGGACTTAAAGCCAGTGTTGGAGATTGCAAGCTTGGAGGTGGGCGGGTTAGTACAATCTATGGAGCAAGGAGAGTGTTATCTATCTAATGTAATCCAGTGGGTCTTTGTATACTGCAAGTGGGATTTATGGAGAGCTTAATACATGTGTCTGTGGTTAATCATAACAGTTTCTTAACAGCAGATCTCTACCTCTTTAATACCCTGTAATGGGCATACAGAATTATCCTGCTTAAAACCAATCTCAGGTATTAGCTATCATGAGCTGAGAGTACTATTTGAAGTGTCTCTTGGAAGTAATTTAATATCCTAATAGGAAAAGTGTATTTTGACCTTCTTGCCGTCATGAACCTGAAGCTTTGCTGTCAGGTAGCCATCCAGAAGTGGAAGTTCTTCAAGTGAATAACTTAACTTTAGGCACAAGGGGGGAAAAAAATGTCAGTTTTCTGGTTTAGGACATTTACAATCCTCACTGCTTATATTTGGAAACCGTGGGCTTTCCAGTGTTGCGAGAGATCTCAAGTCATGGACATACTAATTTTCCAGAAGCATCACTAATTGAAAACACCTTTTGGAAACAGTTTGCTATTGGCTATTAAGCAGAAGCATTGGCAGTAAAACAGGGTGGTTTGAATTGTCCTCCCAGAGCTGTGGGGGAGAGGAGAGGAACTATGTGAACTATAACAGAGCTGGTGTGTAAGGCTGCCATTCAGAGTAAGATCGGAGTGTAGTTTGATGTCTGTGCAATGCCTGCAGCTTGGAGCAAGTCAGAAGCCTACTGCTTTAGGCCTTGTTCACATACAAGTACAGGTAGTTCTCAGTCTTCAAGAATTTGTAGACATGATCTAGATACCTAGTGTAACTGATACCTTGACCAAGACTCATTATACTTTTGTCTTCTAATTCTTCATTAACTGAATCCAGTGTTGTCATTTGCAGTGTATTTCCTAGGTTTGCCATCATGAAGAGCAGATATAGCCTAAAATACATGCAGCTAATTATTTTAGGATTCCTGGGGAGACTTTATCAGACTGGCTAGTTAAACATGTTCATCTGTGTATATTGTTTAACGTACTTGTTGGTAGCAAATTGAATGGGATATGCTTTGTTATCACTGAGGGATTAACAGACTATCGTCCTTTTTTTAGAATGCAAACTAGAGACATTTCTTGAAGAATTCTACCCCTTCTGCATTGTTCTTCACCTCAGTTCAGCAGTGCCTCTGCTCTCTTGCAAGGATTTCTTTTTAGAAAATCTCCTTCTTATTGTCCTTAGCTGTCCAAAAGTGGGACCTCCACCCAATTTTGCAAGTTGATTTATCACAAGACTTTTCTAATTTTTTACGTTCTACTGGTAGGAGCTCAAGGAGCAGTTTGTCCTGTTTTCCAGTGTGTTTTGATGGTATTCCTGGATTCTGCAATCATACTGACTTCTGTACATCTGGGACCTGTAGTTCTGAGTTATCAGAAACATTAAAATGTAGACTGGGGAGTCCCCCACCCATTTGCTTTGCATTGTTCTTCCCAAGCAGAGCGTGAGCGGAGATTTCGGTATTTAGCTCAAATGAATAGATCTCCTGGGCTTCAGAAATGCCACCTACCAGACTTTTTTTCTCAATAGTTGGAATTTTTAGTTCTAGAAATTCTATGTCATCTTGTCTTCTAGCAGCCCCAAGATGTCTTATCTTTGCCTTTTGTCTGCCACATTCACAAGGTTTGTGGAGTGTTTGAGGGCTTTTCCCTCCTCGACACTGCTAGTGGGGCCTCCGGCAGCTCAGCTCATCCCCAGCTGAGTTGAGTTGCTGCTTGGCTGAGATGGGAGCCTGCACAGAAAGGACTGTTCCTGGGAGGTAGCCATTGAAGAGCCAGGCCAGCACATTAGGGAAAGGGGAGTAACTATTGGTGTTTATATGTAACTGATTCCTTGCCTTTGCAGAGGGCTTCTGTGTGGGCATGGCAGATGAGTTCAAGCATGGTGCCTGAGTGGTGGTGTTGAAGAGGAGACTAAAATGGTTGTGCCACAAACAAAGAAATAGTTTGGGACTGTGGGTGCAACATGGGAGAGACAGGGGTCAATGCAGGCTTTGAATAGGGAGCAGAAGTCAGGCGTGTTTAAGAATGTATAGAGATTTGAGCTTGCTAGGGATGTATCAGTCTAGGTATTACTCCTACTGTGCAGTTGCAAGCGGGGCACATATATCGAGGCATGCTTATATTTATGAAGCTGGCAATATTAAACATGAAATTATATTTAATATTCCTTTTAGCTCACCTCTCAGTGTCTGCCAGTTGATGCTAAGTATTGAAATTTGAATTTGTGTTAAAATATAGTGTGCAAGAAAGATGCAAGGATGTATCTCTGTGATTTGTCCAGACAGTGACAGGAACTCAGACTGGTTTTTAGCACAGGGATTGAGGAATTAGGACTTCTGTATTTGATTTCCACTAGCTCTGTGTTATTGCCTTCCATGTGCTCCTCTATTCTTAGCTGACAAAACAGGGGCAGCACATTTTGCTGCCCCTAAATGTATTATGTGAGCATTGTGAAATGCTTTAGGATCACAGGTGTAATAGCTGCCCTTCTGGGTGAGGCCAGAAGCCTGCCCAGCCCCTCATCACACAGTGGCAGCAGGAGATGCTATTGAGGTGGATGACACAGTCCTGGCCACTTTCTGCAGTCTATCCCAGGATGCCAGATGCTCCAGAGGATAGGGTGCTAACCTGAGTGGATTGCACCTCCTCTGGTGCTAGCTATCCCAAGTGTCTAGCCTAAACTAGGTGCAAGCTACTTCTGCCCTCAATGGAGGGAGAGAGATGCTCCTGGAAAGTGAGTCACTCACTTTTCTTAACCACTCTTACATGGACAGTCCTCTCAGCTGCAGAAAAAAATGTTTTTCCCCTCTCCTGCCCTGTTTGTGAGGCCATGCCATGACCTGGACCAGCAATTTGATACGAGTCTTGAACAAGCCATCGTCAATCCTGCTCCCTTTGTTTTTTCCCTTTCTCTGGTTTTTAACATAGTTCATTCCACCCTTGATGAGACCCCACAAAGACCCTTGAGATGGAGCAGAGTTGCAGTGCCAAGCCAGGAACTGCTTTAGGCTCGGCAAGGGCACCACGAGACTTGTCTGTACACCCACGGCCTCTGACTAGACAGAGAGCTTTTAAGTAGCTAACGATAGGTGTGATGATTCTGCTTCTCTGTTCGCTTTCCACTGTGCATGCACATGTGTGGGTCGTACTGACAAGGTATTAATGATTCCTGAAGCAGAATGTGTGAAAAGAGGCAGATGTAGTGCATGGCAAATTAGCATGAGTACGGTTTTGTTTTCTGCTATATAAGCTCTCAGAGAATATCCTGGAAAAAGTGGGATTGTCACTGCTATTTTGTTCATCTCTACATTTTAGTGTGTTACCTCTGATTTATCGTTGCATCATCAAAAGATTAAAACAGAGGAAAAAATACAGGCAGTGCATTTAAACTGATCATACCAAGTTTTATCAGGTGTAGAAATATCTAACTATTTGTTGGTCAACAAAGATAAGAAAAATAATAGTAAAACTTGAAAGAGAATAATTCTGGACATGTTATTTTATACGTATGAGTGCTTGAAAAATACACACAATGCACACTGTGGATAATACTTGAAATCAGCCAAAATCTGACAAAAGAAACAAATGAACTTATTTCAAAATAGGTGCTAAAAATCTCATGTTCTTTTGGACCAAAACATATGTGCTGGATAGTAGCTCTGTATCAAAGCTTTGAAGCTGAGATTTTAAATACTTTTTCAAAATTAACCCTGTACTATAAATGCTATCAGATGCTTAATTAAGACTGCACGAACAAGGAGCATGTTGGCAATAAATTATGGGGAGGTGTTCTGACATGCTTTATCTGTGTAAAGATTTCTATTTTTATGGTAAGCTATTTACAGATTATTGATATCAAAAATAGATTTGTAACTGAAGAAAGATGCATCATATTTCAGTTGCTCAGAGTTGAGAATCTTGCCTGGCTGGCTGCCCTCTCTCTTAGATGTTTATTCCAGTGGCTTACAAGTGTATGGAGTGCTTCAGTCCTCCTTACTTTTCTCTCTCTATTTGTCAGAAGGAATTTATATTCAGGGATCAGGTCCCATGTCTCTTACCCACACAGGTAGGCTGATTTTTACACCTTTGAAGCATCAGAACAATTTCACTGAACTCTGTGAGACTTTTTTGAGAGTAAGACTTTTGGGTAGGGAACATCCATCACAGTATTTTTGGTTGTTACTGGTTTATTTCAGAGCAGTAAGCTATTGTCACAGTGCCAGTGGAGCCTGCTAAGCTGTAAGAGCGCCTTTGAGTTCATGCAATACAAAACTTCAGCATAAGATTTTTTTATTTCATGCTGTGTGAACATTAAAATAAATATTTTAATAAATAAATCAGGGCAAAGCCTGAAGGTAGAGGTAGTATCTTTTATTAGAGCAACTGATAGAGTTTGAAAACTTAGACAGGCTTGTATGCCCAAGAGCTTGTGCATTTTTTCCAGCCATACCAGCTGGTCTGGTATTGCTTCTGTCTACAAACCTTGTCCTGCCCATGAACTCTGTTCATCACAGCTACAGCAAAATGCTGCTGGATCATTAAAATAATTCACGCCTTTCTTGTTTAATTATGGAAACTCAGATTTTTGTGGTTTCCTGAAGTCTCAGCTTTTTGAATCCCAGCACACACAAAATGATGCTGTCTGGTTTTTCCCACTGTAGAGAAGAGTTTAATCACACAGGAGCTCAAACTGTTTCACTGATTCCTCATTTTAGAAAGGATGTTATTAAAAGTTGCCTGCTGAAATTCTTCTGCCATCTGGATCTTAAGATATTTTGTAGGATACTATTGGTGGACTATTGGGAGGTAAACGTTGGGAGCAGTCCTGTCCTAGTACATGTGTCAGCATCTCTGATGTGGTGTGATGGTGATGGGAAGCAGATGAAGTAGGAAGAAGAGGCTGGCAGAACTGAAAGTCTCTGGCTTTGGCTGTGGGTGTAAATCTTTGAATCTTGCTATGTGTCTGGCTGGGTACGCAGACACGTAGCAAGGGCTGTGTAGCCTTTCTAAATGGCAGGAAGCTTGGATTTGGACTTGCTTCAGCTGGAAGACCTAAACCCAGAGCTGTCTAAGAGTCATAAGATCAGCCATGCAGCAGTTTTTTCAGAGCTATTTAACATGCCTTTTAGAGGCCTTAAATGTATATATCTTTTGGATCTGAATCTGTAGCTTAGTAGCTTTAAAATAGCTCCAGGTAAGACCAAGGATGTGATGATCTGGACCATCTTGAAATATCCATGGGGTAGATGCTTTTCCACCCTCTGAGGACACAAGCCCTTTCTGTAATTTGCAGTCTTGGAGCCATACCAGATGCCTCGCTGTGCTGCATGTCTCTTGGCTGACCTGGAGTCTGTCGCTCTTGCACGGGCACTGCCCCTGTCCCCAGGACTGCTGCAGCCCTTGCTGCCCATCAGGAGCCTTGCTGCAGGCAGTGCACTGCCTTTGAAGTGGAACAGAACTGTTTAGTTCTATGTCCTGTGCTGCCTTCTATCTGTCTTTGGGCACGGCTTAAATAGCTGGTAATTATTTATAAGCCTTTGGTGGCTGGGGCCTGGGCTATTTTAGAAGCTGCTTCTCCCTGCATGCCCTGTTGTGGAAGTTGCGGGTGGCTGGAATGGCCCGTTGCCCTCTTGCTGCGGTGACCTCCTCTCCTGGGTGTGTTGCAGGGAATTTGGGGGGGAGAGCTCTCAGCTCTGGCATGCAGTCCCTTGGGCTGCCTGCCAGAGCCTAAATTTGGTGACCTTTAGGATGTGGCAGAAGATGCATTTGTAAACCTTGGTGGGAGACAAGCAGAGAATGCTGGGGGAGGGAGGAACATATTTTTTACAGACAAGCTGTTTGCCTTCTGTTTGATTGTTATGACCAGCAACTTGTAGGTAAATAGAATAACAAATGCTGTGACAATTGCAACTGTTGCTCTTTAATCAAATTTAAAACTAAAATTCATACAGATTTCCTCTAGGAGAGCAAGCATGTGTGCGACTGCCAAAAGCACTGACTTCTAATGATGGTTTGGACACTTGCTCTCTACTGTCTACTTTGCTGAAATCATCTAGTCTCCCTTCTGTAAAATGAAGGCAGTCATACTTTAAAGGTGTCTAGAAATGGTTGCTGTATCATTACCCATGTAGCTTGTGGGTGGTTTTGTTTCTTTTAAGGAAGATCAAACAAGCCAAGCCCTGCGGTCCAGCAGTTGTGTGGGTTACATACAAATGTGGTTTCATGTTATACCTAATTTGGTATAACTGTGGGATGCGTCTTCCACCCCATTCTTTGCACCAGCTCTATTGATAGCGTTGTGGCAGGTTGAGCTGGCTTCAGCCTACTGACCAGTGGAGAACTACCCAGTTTTTGTTTGCTTTTGGTCGGTTAGTTTTGATGGGTGAGGACTTGGACCGGTGAGCTGAACTGACTCACCATGGGGCTAGTTCATCATCCCATCTGGTGCCAGGGACACAGCAGGACATGCTTCTGGCTGGAGGAGGGAGGGAGCAGGATAGCCCTGGTGTGCTAATAACACAGTTGGGAAAGGTACCCCTTTTTCCTCACTGCAGGGCTTTCCTGATGAGAAGGACTGTCTGGTGGTTTGATTTTGGCAACCAGTACTTGTGAAGGGATGCAGATGTTTGTGAAGATCTGCTGGTGAATATTTGCATTGCTAGTGTTACAGGTTTGGTTTGCAGCAAGTTCTTGCTCTGTCTGAATGTGGCTGACCTGCAGAGGACAAAAGATCATCTTTCTACTTTCCTTCCAATTGTTTCTGCTAATTTAGCATCAGTTTGAAGCTTTGTCTTTGCTTAGAGATCAAATGGCCAGGGGCAAATCTCTTTTCACTGTGTGGTAAAAGTGGCAAGGTCAGTCCCACTGGCATTTGTAGGGTGTGTCCTGCCTGATTTATCTCAGGTATAAAGGGTAGGTTTTCCATCACCTATAGCTAATGCACATTAGTAGTTTTAGGGTCAAAACCCACCACTTTTCAGCAATGAAAACAAGGTCTCTGTTTCTAAATGCATTTTCACCACAATGGATAGGAGTGTTTTTACAGTTCCAGCCATGTGGAAAAGTCTTCCCAGCTGTCTGTTTCAACACTCTATCTCATGAAACTTCTCAGAGGAAAGCCTTTTACTTGACCTGCAAACTCAGATCATTCCACTGGGTACTTTGCAAAACTTCCTGAGTGGCATTGCATCTCTTTGTACCAGGAAACAGACAACTTTCTGGTGAAACAAACCTTGAACTTGAGCAAGCTTTCCTCTTCTGCTTCTTTCAGAAATAAATAAGCGTTTGAAGATGACAACCTCATGGAGCGACCGACTCCAGAATGCAGCAGATCTCCCTGCAAACATGGATGGGCATGCTCTGAAAAAGTACCGCCGGGAAGCCTATCACCGGTAAGTTGCTCATGTTACCCCAAAACTGAAAGTGCTGAAACAGAGGAAAATAAGCATAAACCCCATATTTCTTGTTTTTTTGCTTGTTGGTAAAACAGAAAGGTTATTCTCACCTTCCTTGCAGAAGTATTAGTACCAGAGAACATAGAAGATAGCACAGTATTGGCCTGCAGGAATTTACAAACAATAGAGTTAGTTGAGATACATGTACTAGAATGAGGGAGGGTGTGCTTTCTTAATGCAGTTGAAAGATTAATTAAAGTTAGATTTTGGGTTGGAAGCATTCAAGTCAAGAAATACTCAGTGACAGAAGTGTTATAGTAATTATTGCAGTGTACACTGGGAGAACATAGCCGTAGGCACTGGAATGCACAAACATATGAATAAGGAGGAAATCAAATGAGATCAGAAATTAAGTGTTTGAGAATTATACCTAGTATGATTAACTGTATGCCTGAAACCTTCTTTGCTGTAGAACAATTACAGTCTAAATAAACAAGGTAGAGTATGGAATAAAAGAAATGTTATCCTTCTTATTTTATAGTTTGGGAGTCAAAGTATAGACACAAGATTATTTTTACAAGCTCACATTGGACGTTTGGTTCAACCAAGAATTTAGCCCACAGCTCCCAAGGTTCCAGGCATAGAGCATAAAAGATGGATGCAATCCAAATCCTTATCAGATGTCTGGACTGTTGCGGAGTTAAAAACAACAGCGTCAAGTAATTGTCAGTATTCTGTTTGTGGGAGGTGTATCTTCAAGGTTTAGCTTGTTGAATTTGAGAAGTTACGATCAGTGTATATTCAGCAGGAGTTGGGGAGACGTATGTCTGATGTAGAAACAGAAAAAGAAGTCAAGTTTCCCAACCTCCTGCTTAAATGCCATGTTGCATTTGTGATTCATAGACGGTGGTATTTCTGAGGAAGTGTTTTGGAAGTGTTAGATATCTTTTGATTCTCCAAATGGAATCTAATTAGAGAAAAACTCCTTAGCATCATATGATAGGCCAGGTTGTACAAATTGCAATGTCTAAGGCTAAGTAATGGCTTCTGTGATGCATTTCTGAAGCTTTCCAATTTCCAGTGAATAAGTTTGGGCACATGTCTTAAGTGGAGACATTATTTGAGTCTCTCTGTGTCAGCTGGGTTGTCAGATATGGAAACATCTAATGAATGTAACTATATATATCACATAAAAAGAGAGGGATTTTATACCATTCCCTAGAAAAAAAATCTTCACCTTTTTGAAGTCATTGACAGGTTTACCTTTATGTCATAGCTTTACCTATGACTTTAATTATGTTACTCCTGATTTAGACTGATGGAAATGAAGTCAGGCCTATTTATTTTTTTTGCTAAATATTTCCTCAACATTTGTTATGGATAGGTGCTGACAGTCTGTTAAGTGTTGTACAAGACCCAAAGGAAGCAGTACTTGTCCTTAGGAGCTCACACATTCAAGTCCTCATCATGTTTACCCTTACTCATGTAAGAAATCATTACTTTTAGAAAGAATTTCCTTATGGAAGATGAGAGTGCACTCAAATATAGGAGGGTTTCCCACTAGGAGCTGGGTTCTGGTAGTCCAAAATTAGTCTGTGGTACAGTTTAAGTACCCTTTTTTAGAATCTATAAATGTCTTATTCAAAATATATTAAGCAGAAATGTAGCCAGCACTTCAGATTTTCATGGAAAGCACAACATTGGAAATATATTAAGGGGGCGGGGCAAATTTTTGTTTTGAAATTACTATCCACTTTTAAAAAGAGAGACAGAGGGAAGGAATGAGAGAGAGGGAGGGAACGGGAGAGAATGATAGAACCTGATGCCAAGACTGTAGTATAAATCTGTGCTATTAATGGCTTTGGTGTACCAGTTTCATGGGAGTTATTTTGATAATCCAGTATTGTAAGAATCTGAAGCAACCTCATTCCAGAGGCAGTGCTGTCAGATTTCTATTTCTGGTATTTTTTGTGATCTTGGTGTTAACAGATGTGATGTTACTTAAAAGATAAGTGTAGACTTAATATGATAGTGTAAAACTGAAGTTATTTCCCCTTGTTGTTTTATATTATATCTTTTTAGTATTTTAATAATTGTTCAGATGTAGAATGTGTGTGCTGGTCACAGCCATCACTTCTAGGATGTAAATTTGTTTCATTGAGGTCCAAGTATGCTCTGACTCTTGGATATCGCTGAAGCACTGCCAATTTTATGAAAAAGAGAGATACAAAAGACAAGGCACTCATTGTCAAGGTTATTTTATTTCTCTTCCTTTTTCTCTTGTAGCAGCTAAAGAAAACCTTCAAAATGTGAATCTAAAGTGACTTAGAAACAAAAGCAATAAAAAATAACATTGAATTTAAAACTATAATTTTTTTTTTTACCTTAAAGGTGGTCCCACTGATTTTATGGGCCCAACCTGGAAGGCTGGAGGAGCTTGGCAGCTGGGCCATATTTACAGTTGAGCATAACTGGGGCTAGCTTTTCATACCAACGTTGGAAGCTCAGTTAGGCTCAAAGTCATTCATTGAGATTTTCTAAATGCTGCTAGTAATTGTTGGTTTTCTGAAGTCTGAAATTTTAAAAACTTGTTTCACTATTTGTTTACTTCATGCTTACTTAAATATCAGTGGAGATACCTAGACCAATTGATTTAACTTTCTGGTTCTCATGAACTATGACATTTTATATGCTTGAATTGTAAATGTTGAAGCAGCATAAAATAAGGGGGAAAGTTTCCAATCCAAGCAAAACAATTTATCTTAAAAAATAAAAATAATGTTCTCGTGGGCGTGAAACTTATAGAAAACTTTATAAAAAAATTAGCTCTGAAGATGCCACTCTAATAGTCATATTTTTCTGTGGTCGTTCATACTAGGAATGTGTTTTTTCAGGTATTGCACTTCTTATTGTATCGTACTTGATGGATGGATGTTCAACATATAATATTGTTGGCAAAAATCCCAGCTGAGACTGGTTTAACTGGTATAATGCATACTGACTCAGAGTATGATGACTATATCATAATCATGTCTGAATGCTATAGGCAAGAATGTTCAAAATCAAATATTTATAGCCATTTTCCTCCCAAAAGTTTTGCTTGGTGTTTTGATCAGTTTGTATAGCTCCTTAAGAAATTAATGAGTATTGAGGTTATTGATGAAGTAAGCAAAGTTTGTGAATGTGAACGTGTATGCTATGCTATAGAGCTCAAGGGCCATAAAAGCAACATCAGGAATCAGAAAAATCTGTAGGGGAGGAGAAGTGGTGGAGTTTTATCTTCAGGGTATTTCTGATGACTTTAAGCTAAGACTTTCAGTTAGCTAGTGTTACTATCAGCCACAAACCTTGTTATACAACATTGTTGGCGCCTGTTGGAGGTGAGGTCTAAAGATGAATTAATATACAAGCTAGATGTTATTCATTCTCTAGCAGAGGTCACTGGTAAGAGGATACTGCATTACTGTGCTATTGGCAACATACATTTTAATTCGGAAATAAAATGGACATGTAGCTGTTAGGTGACTTTTCCTTAGTGTGTGTGGTTGTGAGGCCACCTCCCTCATGCACTGCTTGTTGACTTCTCCGGGTAGAGGATAATCACTAGGTCATTTGTTCTGGAGGAGTACTGTCATTTAACGTGATTGTAATTAGGCAAGAACTAGGTTGACTCTGAGCCACCAAATTGCCCTAGTGTCTATTTTTTAACTTTGAGTGAGCACTTCTAGGCACCCTCTGGATTATCTCACATAGCTCTTTAGGGTTTAAATAGCAACCACATCTAGTTAAAGCAAATAATGGAAAAAGTTGGTGTTCTATCCACTCTTGTTACTGACAGTTACCAAGATCCAGGAAACAGGTATTTGCATTTACTTTTATTCTGTGGTTTTGGCTTAACAGGGCAGTAAGGCTGAGATGGCCTCTTTGTTAAGCATACAGAATTTGGGATGCTTTCACCATTTTTCATCAGAGTAATTTGAGATTTCTCATCCTGACCATGGGGTTTCTGTTGTTGTTTTAGTTTTGTTTTCTTGCTCTGTTTTCTTACTGGCTAGCACAGGGGTGTAGCATCATGATTCCTAATTCTAATTCTCCTGCTGACCGGTCATAGAATATTGAATAAGTTGCTTCATAGTTTTGTGCTTTAATTTGCTTTCAAAGCTTTTTATGGTAGTAATATGAGTTAAGTGATTTAAGCTGTTAATATACTCTTGAGATCCTGGGTACAAAAAACAGTATATACTTTAATATGACAATAATGATTTCTAGGGTTAAAAATGTATTTTAGTTTGTTTGAATTTGTAATCTCTTGGCTATTCACTGGTGATCTTGTTTCTTCACTTCACTGATACTGCAATCAGTGATTGCAAACAGGTGGAAATGTTATATAAATTAGGCTATGAGGCTTGAAACTGTGTATCTATTTAGGTAGCTTTATACAAAGTCTCTTTAAAATGATCCCTTCCTTGAGGTGGCAAATGAGACAAAAACCTTTACCAGTCTGAAAATTCTCTTTTCATCAGACATATTTGGATAGGCAATGTGTGGTATTTTCATGTAACTGTAAATGAGGTAGCTCTGTAGGCACTGCTGGATATGGTCTGTCCTCATATGTCTTTATGCAGCCTCCTTGGACTCATGTGGTGGCATGTGTGTAGCGGAGGGCAGCATGTGGCTCCCTATTTATTTTGCTTTAGTGCTTCGGAGGTTGGAGAGAGGAGGGAGAGGGAGTGTTAAGGCGGCAGAATGGGCGAGCTTATGAGAAAGCAGAACACTTGCCAAATTAATAATAAAAAAATTACATTGAAAATGTCCCATGATCCCTAGCCTTAATAGTTTCACAGAGCAGACGGGTGTTATTTTGGGATGGAATCCATATGTGAACTTCTTGGCACTTTGCTGTTGCCTGGGAAGAAAACCCAAACAATGGAAACAGAAATGGTCAAGGCTATCTCCTTCCATCTGTTTCCTGCTGAATTTCAGAGGGCTCATAGTCA